TGATGTTACATCGCAGCTCAAAGATTTATGGATATTTAAACTGAAGTTTTGATTCAAGAAAAATGCATTTGTTTGTTTTTGATATATTTGTGTTTTATTAAGACATCAGAAACTCTGCAGTAAAAGTAAATGGATTTACAGCTGAATCTGCTTAAATATAGCATTAAAATAACCCAGTTAACAAAATGAACTTCTTGTTGTCTCATAGGGGATTTATAAGACTTATGACAGGGATCATTCAGGAACTATTGGAGCAGACGAGCTTCCAGCTGCCTTCAGAGCTGCAGGTAAATGCCCTCTGTTCATCAATTTACTATATTTTCATAAGAACTACAGGTTTGATGTGGTATTAACAACACCAAGCACCAAAGAAAGACCAAGCATAATCACAATGTACATCCTATTCTACTGTTAATTTATAACCATTTCTTCCAATGAAATTGTCATGACAAATTAAGAAAATAACTACAGTATATAAATTAATTGTATATAAAATCTAATATATAGATATGTATAACCTTTACATTTAGATTGTGTCATATTTGACACTGAGTAGGGGTGTGAGCCTACACTGGTCTCATGTTCGGTTTAGTTATGATTAAATTATATTTTACTTTACAGCACAAAAATTCCTGTATTAAACTGTAAAATGCATAAATATATTTAGATATTATTTGTAATAGAAGTTCGTCTTTTAATACAAGCAGTCAGATATATGAACTGTACCTTTAATTTTACCTGCTCAATTTTGTGCTTTATTCAAATCGCAATTTCAGTTTAAAAAAAAAAAACAGTAATCCTGCAGACCTAAACACAACACACCCATATTTAATGATAACAAGGTTCCACTTTATATTAAGTGGCCTTAACTAATATGTACTTTCACAGGAATAGTTTGTTACAATGTACTTATTGTGTAAATACGTGTACTTACTGTATGCTTGATTAAATACATATATGTAATTACATCTGTAATTAACTTTTGTAATTACATTTTAACTACACTGACCATCCCTTACACCTTAACCCACCCGTAAACCTACCCATGCCACCAAACCTGTCCATAACCCAACCTCTATCCTAACTCAAAAGCACCACAAGTGTTCTTAAATACATTATAAACACAGTAAGTACATTGTATTTATTTTTTGATGTAAGTACATAGTAGTTAAGGAAACTTAATATAAAGTGGGGCCGATAACGGTCATAAATTCCTTTTCATTGGAGTGTAAGTTATTGATGACAAGGCCATATTTAAGACTTCTTGGCAGTTGTATGTTTCATGATGATTTTTAACCATACTAGTCCTAATCTAGTTTCAGTCTAATGAAACTAGTCTAATTAGGATTTTAATCAAACTTGTCTATCTATGCAATAGAAACCATTTTCTAATAGGTCCAAAATGACTAGACAAAACTAAATTCATGCTTTTCTTTTCAGCTTAGTCTCTTTATTAATCCGGGGTTGCCACAGCGGAATGAACCAAAAACTTATCTTTAAAAAAAAAGACAATTTTGCCACCTATAATCTATTGGAATCAATCTAATGATGGGCAGGCGGGTGGTGATACAAAAAATTGGAGATATGATCTATTGCATTAACAAAGCCCAGGAACTAGCCAGAAGATTTGGGCACACTGTTCATTTACATGAACCCCTATCATTGTAGCCATTCAAAGCCAGTTAAAGTTTAGCATACTTGTTATAGATGGACTTCCAATATACAGTTGAAATCAGAATTATTAGCCCCCTTGAATTATTAGCCCCGCTGTTTATTTCTGTTTAACAGAAAGATTTTTTCAACAAGTGTCTAAACATAACAGTTTTAATAACTCATTTCTAATAACTCATTTATTTTATCTTTGCCATGATGACAGTAAATAATATTTGACTAGATATTTTTCAAGACACTTCTATACAGCTTAAAGTTAAATTTAAAGGCTTAATTTGGGTAATTAGGTTATCTTGGCAGGTTAGGGTAATTAGGCAAGTTATTGTATAACGATGGTTTGTTCTATAGACTATCGAAAAACAAATTAGCTTAAAGGGGCTTATAATTTTGACCTAAATGTTTATCAAAAAAATTAAAACTGTTTTTATTCTAGCCAAAATAAAACCAACAGGACTTTCTCCAGAAGAAAAAATATTATTAGACATACTGTAAAAAATGTCCTTGCTCTGTTAAACATCATTTGGGAAACATTAAAAAATGTATAATAAATCAGAGGGGGCTAATAATTCTGACTTCAACTGTATATGCATAATGGTGATCATATTTTCAACTGCATGTTTTTCCTTAACTTATTTCCTTGACAGGTTTCCCGCTAACAGATCAACTCTTTCAGATGATTATTCGAAGATATAGCGATGAAAGTGGAAACATGGACTTTGACAATTACATCGGGTGCCTTGTCAGACTTGACGCCATGTGCCGTGAGTAGAGTCCTGAAAATGTTAATGAAGAAAAACAACAACTTTGTTTTAAGTAAATATCTGATTGGTTTAATAAAGTATGTTGATGTTTTCATACTAATGATTATAAAGCAAAGGTGTTTTGTTGAATTGTAGTTAATTTCTTCATAAAATGAGCGCAAAGTTAAAGAGCTCCATGAGCACAGAGTTGAGTAAATAAAGGAAATGACAAGGGAGGAACAGGATTTGGAAATGTAAACACTGATTTATCTTGTTCAATGGTCTGTTTAGTATCAGTTTTAATACAATGGAAGCCACAGTGGCTACTCCATATCGAGTCTATGTATATTCCTGTAATATATTTAGGTTTTGTGCCTTGAAGTTCACGTCTGCTGTCATGTGGAGGAACTGGATGATGAGTCAGATTCCACACACTATAAATGCTTGTCCAATAAAATGTATTCTAGTTTTGCACCTCCCCCAAATACCACATGCATCTGAATAGCAAGAGTGTGAATGGGGTGTACCCTAAAGACTGCTGGAACTGTCAGCAGCACAAGAAAGGAAGAGATTATTGCTTGTCCATTTTATCCAAACTTAATAAGCAACTGTAGTGAGATTAATGTGTTTAATTCTGATCTACTCAGTTTGGTTACTTGTTGCTCCCCCTGCAGGCTTTGAGAAAATTCAGTGATATTGATTTTGCACTGTATTAGGAGATGTTTAGACTGTTTTAGACTAAGTTGTGATTTATTTCAGCTTCAGCAAACGTTTTTTTTGACTGGATCTGAAAGTTACTGTGTGTTTTTTTTTTGTGTAGTATCACTGCAGCATTTTAAAATGGAGATAAATGAAGTAGTCTATTTACTAATACATTAAAGATATTGATTGATGTCATCCTGTGTTGACTCCAGATGCCTTCAAGACTCTTGACAAAGACAATGACGGTACAATCAAGGTCAATGTTCAGGAGGTAAGAGAATTTTGACATTTTAATAACTCAACTTGCATTCCCTTAAAAATAAAATCAGATTTACTGAGGATAAAATGTTGTCTTCTGTCTCTTCACAGTGGCTGCAGCTGACCATGTACTCCTGAGTGATGTGAAGGCCTGCATGATGTTGATAAAGCAACTTATGATATATGCAATAATGACTCTGCTTTACACAGCACCCTTTTTTATTTTACACACTGTATCCAGCATATAGCAGCCATTTTAAAGAGACACCAGCATTGAACTGGTTATTCACTGGGACGGTTTCTCACTACGGTTTTACTCCAGTTTTAGTGCTTTTAGTTCATTGTTAGAACTGTCCAATAGAAAACTAACCAAAGAATGAGAAATTATGAGAAATGTCAAATTATTTTAACAAATTATGCACTTAGGAAGCATCTATCCGAAGTCACAATTAGGTAAAGAAACTGTATTACATGTCAATGTTGTCGGTTTTGGTGCCATACTTGCATTGAGCCAATGGGTGATGTTGGGGATACAGATATCGCCACAAATGTATCAGGATCTGGTGTCAAGTGCAATTTTATATTGAATAAAAACGCTGAAAGTAATAACCTCTTGTGTTTTATTGTTAGTTTGATTATGAATTAATTGGTTTGTTTGATTTGTCAAAGTCAGCTCTATTGTCAATTCAACCACATGTACAGGCAGGGGCAGATTTTGTTATTGGGGCGAAGCAATTCCAGCCGTTTTTTTTCTGATATCACTCCATCCCCTTTTCTATATTTTGTCTTGATGCAAAATAATAACAACATGTAAAGCATCTTGTAAAACTTATTAAATTATTTGTTTTCTTAAAATGAATTCACAACTAAAATGATGTCTAAGCTTTTTTAATAGTTTTAATTTTTTAATTTTGTTTTAAAAACTAAATCTGCCTAATTTGACAGCTGGACTGCTCTATGATGGAAGGTGGGGGACACATTTGCGCAGAAGTAATAAAAATTAAACATTTGTCTAGACCCTCGTCATACAAAATATGATGGAAAATTATGTTCTACTTAATTTATAGCTATAATTTATACTTCTAGGTATTTATCTGGGGCCCTCCAGATTTGCTGGGGCCCTAAGCGGCTGCTTACCTTGCTTATTTGTTTAATTTCGCCCCTGTGTACAGGACATACAGAGAATTGTAGTTGTGTTACTCTCAGACCCAAGGTGCCTAACATATAATTTTAATACAAAAAGGAGAATTTTAAAAATAATTTTTACAATAAATACAATTACACATATAATCTAAAATAATATTAGTAATAATATTTTTAAACAATACAGTTGTACCTAAGTGCATGTGGTTCACCATGGATGTATAGTTTAAACAGTAATATTTTGTCTTTGTTTCAATATCAAATATATCTGCCATACATGCCAACTGTAATTGCTATAAATAAAATCAATAAACGTATTCGCAAAAACGCGAAGATTAGAGCTAATGAGCCCCTACCGTCATCTTTGGTAAAGCGTGTGTGTGCTGAAACTGTAGTGGTAAAGCGAGCACCAGCGCCACTCATACTGTAGCGGCAGCACATGATAACTACACCCACCATCTACGCCACGGAAAACAGAAGAACACGTGCGCATGCGCTGCGCATACTCTGCTTTCTACGAAGTTTCTGGGGCGCAACGCAAAATATTGATTACATTTTGAGCAATCTGAGGTATTTATTTCACGCTTTAACCTCTCAAAGTACCTAATTGTGCCTGCGGCTTTTTAAGAGTTTGTTAACTGTTCCGTAAAGTGACTATAATCACCCGTATCGTGTGAAATAGCAAGCTAGCTTAAATAGCTAGACAGTAGTGTAGGTTGTAGGAAAATGAGGGCGAAATGTCCTTCCGCATTCGAGCGGTTTGGTTTGTTGCGATAAAAAATAACGTTGTATATTTTGTGTGGAGAAGCGTAGGTTATCTTAGCCGAACTACAATTGTGCTGTGCTTGGGGATGTTTGTTTGTGGTTTAATTCAGTTGTTTCATCGCGACGGCGTTTCCTCGCGGCACAAAGAGAGATCTCGTGACCGTGAATCCGCCGTATGCAGTTCAGCTCGGCGGAGACCAGTGAGAGAATGAATGAAGAGACGGTGGTGGTTTAGCTGATCATTCTTCCGGTACATCGAAGTTGGAAATCAATTGAGTTTTAATCTGAGCTGTTGATGTGGAATATTTCACACGCAATGAGACGCTGATGACTAACGTTAACTTTAATGCGCGCTCATCTTTTACAGAGATACAAGTCTAACGTTATTCACTTCAACTTGATTAAAGTTAGAGATTTTTAAACACTCGCTAATTTTTGAAACATGTCGCACCATTGCCTGGCATTTCCTTTAAAAATGACAATATTTCCAAATTGAGATTAAGAGATGATTACAAGAAGCATGAACATAAACAATTTATCAGAAAAAAGGAATTATTCCTAAAACCATGACATCTGTCTTCAAAACGTAGGGCAGCACTTAATGTTAGATTAACACATAAGTTTTGAAATTAAGATAAAAGCATGCATCTTTTAAAGAAACATGTTTCCTTAAGGTGTCTGATATGTTCAATTTGTTCATGTATGCATCTATATTCGTATATATTTAAACATTTTAAGGTATATTTTTAGGTTTTGAAATAACCTATAATAAATTGTCACATAAGAATATCAACATTGTGTATAAGACAATATGTGTATAAGTATAAGTAATCCTGTATTATTTTTTTTAGCTTTGTGCAATATAAATATAAATGAATAAAATGAACAAAAATATAAATAAACAAATAATTAAATTAATAAAAATAAAATAAAACACTTAATTTTCTGAGAGTTATGACGGTAGCTTTTATTCATGTAAAGGATTGCTCCATTTTTGTAAATAATTATTTTGTTTGTTTCTGATGGTGTTAACTCAGATTGAGTGTTACTAAAGTACACATTTAACGAGAAAATGTAAGATATTGCACACAAACCTCTGTTTAAACAGAATATTTAAGTTCTTAAACATTGATGCAGTTCAGTTTATTAAATTAAAACTAAGTGACAGGGTTTGAAATCTGCTAGTGATTCAGATCAACCAGTTGTTTAATAAGTTAATTGTCATTCCTGCACTGTCCACAGACTCCCCCTAGCTGCTGAGAGAGTGATCTGCTGTGAAGATGTCTGTGTCCTCGCTCTACCTCAAACAAGACAACATGGTGCGCTTCAAGAGGAGAAAAGCACGTTTCTCCTTCAGTGAAGTGCACATCCTGCTGGACGAAGTGCGGAAGAACCGACACATTGTTGTGGGTGAGTTTCACCTGCGTTCAATAATATTCAGCTGCAGACCCACACATTTTTCAGCACATAAAATCCAATCAATAAACAATAAATGGTTACGACGGATGTCATTGTTATTAACGTCTTCTCAGACCTTGTCATAAAAAAAAAAAAATATATATATATATATATATTTCACAAATATGACGATTGAGACAGGGAAACAGGGTTCGCTATTTAACTTAATATACTCAACGTTTTTCTATCAGTCATTATTTATCTGACAGAGTCAATATAGCAAATAACTAATTAGAACTAATTACAACTTTTTTATTACGATTTTCCCATTCTAAATACTATAGTAATTTATAGTAAGTAATGTATTGTATTTGAACTATAAAGTACTGGTAATTTGTAGTAATTATAGTTGCAGCAAATATCGTATTACAAACAAATTATCGTTAATAATATTAATAATAATAAAAAGATATATAAAATCCTATATAAATACAATACATTAAAATATATATTTATATATATATTACTAACAGTTGCTACAGTTTAGTAAAAGATAAAGTAGTTTATCTGTTTATAACTGTAATACAAGCATGCAAATCTCTTTGCTTGCGTGCCGATTTCCTCTGTTCGTGCACAAAATTTTTAGCAAGGTCCCTCAATTATATGCTGCTCAAGTGCAAATTTTTCTTGTGTGCTCGCAAACAAACACTGCTGAAGTGAGATTTAGTGCGTTTATGTAAAAAGTATGTCTCTAACATTTATTAAATTTGCTAGGAATATTTACAAATGTCTCCAATAGACCTACAGAGTGGCATTGATGCGTCCTGAAGTAAAGTGAAACGGCTATAAACTCCAGTAAGATTAAGTCATTGTATGCAGAACCATAGACTTTTATCTATAGAGTTTAATTATGGAAACTGTGTTTATCATACCTCAAAGCAACGTCGTGTTTGCTTGCCTCATGCATCGCACAGGCCAGGCAGTCAGTCAGCCAGCATGTCACCTTAAAGGATTAAACAAATAACGCACAGCATTACTTTGGGTACAGAAAAGTCCATGCTGTTATAATTCACTGACTTTTTATTACGTTTTGGTGTGATTATAACCCGCTATTAAAAAAAACAACTACTAAATGTTTTACATGAAATGCGGTAATGTAGCTGTGGCGGGATGAATCATTGTGTGGCGCCCCGCCATGGAAGAATAATGTAGCAGAAACCTTGAACTATAGTAATTCATGTTAATATGACACATTATTGTTTATTTTTTATATTTTACTACAAAACAGTTTTAACTTAGTCTGAAAACATTAAGATCCTGAATTAGTTTATTACACTTAATCCTGCAATTGGTCTATTGGTCTAAAAAATGTTTAATCTCAGTCCTGAAAAATGTCACCTTAAGCTTGCTTTAACACACCGTCTAGAAGTTTCTGTTTTGCTCAGCAAGACCTTGATTGACTAATTCAGTTAAAATCCCCTACTATTAACAAACACCAGAATAAAATCTTCAAATAACACTCTTCTGTGTTTTTGCGCAGGTAAGTTTAACGCCGGCATTCCCTCTGACGTGAAGCGCAGGAAATGGGCCGAGATCACAGCACGTGTGAATGAGATCGGAGAGTGCGACAGAGAAATAATGGAGGTCATCAAGAAATGGTCTGACCTTAAATGTGACACGAAGCGCAAACTTGCTGCCCAGCAGACAGGTACGATGGTGTCTCAGCGACTGGCACGGTCCAATATTGAACTGTCCCCCATGGAAGTCATTGTGGAGTCCATCCTGGAACTGGACAAGAAACCGTGGGAAGCGACACAGCGGTCCAGATCTCGCAGTCACGATGATCAGGAGCCCGTGTGTGAGGATGAGGAAGAGGAGGATGGTGGTTTTGTGGGAATGGGGTCCGTCAACAGTTCTCCAGGCAGAGGAATGGAGGTGGGAGGAATGCCTGCTACTACAAGCGGAGCCGGGGGTCCAAGCGAGATGCAGTTTGATGGTGCTAAACCTGGAGGTAAACACACTAAAAACACTTAAGGGGTTAGTTTATCCATAAATGAAGATTTACTCACTATTTGCTCTCCATCAAGTGGTTCCAAACCTTCATGAGTTTCTTTCATCTGTCGAACACCAAAGAAGACATTTTGAAGAATGCTGATCACCTGTAACCAGTGACATCCATAGTAGGAAAAAAACAAGGCTATGGAAGTCAGTGGTTACAGGTTTTTAGCTTACTTTAATGTATTTTTCCTTGGGTTCAAAAGAAACATTTTGTTTTTGTTTGAAGCAAGTAAAGCGTGAGTAAAGCATAGCAGAATTTTCATTTTTGGATGAGCTATACCTTTAATGATGACTACAGTACATCTAATGTGTATAATTCTGTTATTTACTCACACTTATTTTATTTATTGTCAAGAGCAGAGCTGTATGTGGTAGCTTTGTTGACATTTATGACAATGTAAGTTTTTATTTTTATGTTTTTTTAATCATACAGGTTCAGTAATGTTACAGTAACCCTGTAAGTGCCTATAAGACCTGTAAGATTTTCACTCATGGAAGTGGACCACATTGAACACATGGACACCTAAAACTCTTAACACTTCAAACATTTCAGTAAAGGATAATGCACATTATAATACATAATGAATATATTCAGTTATTCATTCACTCATTCATTTTCCTTTAACTTAGTCCCTTATTCATCAGGGGTCGCCACAGCGGAAAGAACCGCCAACTTATCCAGCATAGGTTTACACAGCAGATGCCCTTCCAGTCGCAACCCACCACAAGGAAACACCACACACACTTTCATTCACATTCATACACCACGGCCAATTTCCTCATTTTCTTTTTGGCTTCGTCTCTTTATTAGTCAGGTGTCATCACAGCAGAATGAACCGCCAACTTACACAGCATGTCCTTTATGCAGCGAATGCCCTTCCAGCCACAACCCAACACTGGGAAACACCCATACACACTCATAGACACACTTAATACACAATTAATTTAGTTTATTCAACTTACCTATAGCACATGTCTTTGGACAGTGGGGGAAACCAGAGCATTCGGAGGAAACCTACGCCAACATAGGGAGAACATGTAAACTCCACACAGAAACTCCAACTGACCTGTCCGGGTCTCGAACCAGCTACCTTCTTGCTATGTTGCCTTATATTTAGTTATGATCAAGATGATTCAAAGTACCTGTATTAGCCAGTGTTCTTAGTTTCAGTGCTTGTTATCTGGGAATAAAATGATTGACAACATATAAAAAACATGCTTCATGACACGATAACCAATGAGGTTCATTCTTGCGTGTCTCACAACACAAACCAATAAGGTTTGTTCTCAGGCAGCAAGCAGTGTGGCTGAGCTTCTGTTCATAATCACTGATTAGGATCTAGATCAGAGGTTCCTAAAATTTTTCATAGGAAGAGAGTGGTATCGAGAGCTGTGGGCCAGATATTAAATATACCCAACTATTCTATATTAAAGTTGCCATGGGTAATTTCATAATTTATACATAACACATAAAATTTCACTTTGACTCCTATTAACTAATGCAGTAGAACTTTTTAAGTTATAACGTATTGCAACAAAAACATAAACGATCACATTCATAACAGTGTAGTTTAATGCTGAATACACTAGTCGAGCAGAATCTACCTTTGCCTTGATTTGCTCACCCAAGTCTCCCCATTGTTCTCTGTCTGTTGGGTGACAGTATGTACATAATAAACCAAATTACAGCATTTAAATTAAAACATTTATCTTCAGTTTGCTTTTTTGGTGCTTAAAAATAAAACACAAATAAAGGGCTCTTTTAATGACCTAGGTTATTACAGTTAAACAGACCATCTGGAGAGCGAGGATAAAGGATGAGCCTCCGCCAATTAGTCTTTACTTTCACCTTCTCTTTCTCTCTTTCGTGAATAAGTAAATGGTGTTGAACACTCCACTGAAGACGTATTTAATTATGTTTGTTAAACACAAATATTTGTTTCAAAACTATTTATAAATTTCCTTCTAATTTCCAGCAAACTAATAAATGAAGAATAATAATGAAGTGTTGTCAAAAAACTGACTTATAATCACGCACATGTCTTATGCCCCATATGGTTCAAAACCTGACAGGTTGACTTTATTGCGGCATGTGTACTTGAAATGACAATCTCTAAACCATCCCCATCATTCTCCCTCTCTTCTCAGATTGGTTGGGCCATGGTAATCTTTGATTTGGCCAAGGAGCCCTAGTTTGGGCATCTCTGTTCTAGATGAAGAGACTTTCAGCGGAGAGACAGAAAGTTAAATGAACTTCATTTGTGTTTCAAAGATGAATAAAAACCTTATGGGTTTGCAGCCATGGGAGTAACTGATTGATGACAGAAATTTAATTGCTTGATGAATTAACCCGTTATAAATGACCACTTCATTTGACTTTGTAGTGTGGAATTGTACACGTTACCAAAAATTAATTTAGTTTTATACTCTGATCTAAAAAACAAATCAACAGCTTTTCAAAGCCACTCTGCCAGTCCAATTGTGGGATCAGTATGTTTATTTTAAATGATGTCTATAAAAATTCTGCTCACTAAGGCCATTTGTGATAAAATAAAAAACCTTGTAATATAAAAAAACATTTTAACAGATTTTAATCTTAACTGAATTTAAGTTTTAATTCCTTTTTTAATCTTTAAATGCATCTCTCTAGGCATATAATTATATAAATGTACTACTGTTTTAAAATTAAGTTTTGCTTCTTTGATTCCAGATCGCGAATCCCACATTGACTCAGACGAAGACAACCGTGACCTCTTCCCATCATCCTCTATGGCGTCTGTCAGTAACTCTTACTCCGAGGAGGATGGAGGAGCATCCCGAGGCAGTGCAGGTCATGTCTCCTCCACAGCCACCGCTTCTACTAAAAGACCCTCATCGTTCCCTGGCGTGGAGCCAGACAGTTCCCGTGAGCAGCTAGCGCACAACGCTAACCTTAGCGTGCAGGAGCAGCATGCCACTAATGCTCTTCTGTCCACAGTCTCGCGCTCCCTGGAGCTTCTTGCAGAGTCCATGCATCAGCTCACGGAGACCCAGCAGGAGTTTGCGCGTGAATCTCTACAGCTACAGAGGGATACTGTTCGGGTTTTGCAGGAGTTTGCCTCAGGAGCGATAACAATACTACAAGAGAAAGTCAACGGCAAACCTGCGTTGTGATGTAAGATTTGTTTATGACAAACAAACGAAGACCAACAAGCTTCACAGATTGTGACCCGTTGTTGAAACTGCATATAGATGACCAATATTGTGTGATTTGTGTGAAAAGTCCAAATACTGAGATTCTGTGCGAGGACAAAAGCGCTTTTGTAAGTTTTCAAAACTATGAAGACACTCTTTTTACCTACTCCTGGTTTATTAATAGAACACGAAATAGTGTTTTTGTTTATAGTGGAGTGCACAAATATAGTGTGAGCACTCCAAAATTGTTAGTTGAATCTGTTCAAAGGGATTTTGGTGGTGATATGGTCTTCCTAAGCATAATACCTTTTTTCCCTCCTTATTCACAATGTTCTCACATAGTAAGCATTAAGAGTTAACAAAATTTAGACTCAGAGGGCCAATTTAAAACAAATTGTATATTTAGGAGTGACATTGACATTGTAATTGTGGCTAATTTAATCATCTGAATGCTGCTTGAAGAAGTGTTTTTTTCCTCGATCACATATTTATGTTTATTACCAGCCTTTGATTGACACTTCAGTGAAATCATGTGATTTTAATAAAGGGGCAGTTCACCCTAAAATAAAAATTACCGCACCGTTTACTCACAATCAGGGTCGCCTGGTGATTTCCAAAAATCTACTTATTATTATTAGGCCATAAGAATTACCATATTTTATCCATAACCAACTGAAGAGAAAAAGACAGTCATTTATAGTTACTATAGTAGCTTATTTACTTGTTCTATTGGATTGCGACCCCTGGGGTAAATACATTATATTAAAGACAGCAATAGCGTCAGATGCAGCAGATTGATTTTATAACACCAGGTTAAACTTTCTGGCCCATTTACAGCACTGACTTAAATAAAAAAAATTAAACAAAGAATAGACTTTGGTCTATTGGTGTGTGTGTGTGTGCGCGCCATTACATGCAAGTTTTCTGTATTTATAACCACCTCAGAGGATATTGGGGGTCGCGAGTCACTGGCATTGTAATTTTAGGGGTCGTGTGCTGAAAAGTTTGGGAACCCCTGATCTAAACTACACAGTGTAAAAACGGTTTGAGGCATGCAAATTAAATCTATCATATTTTATCTAAAAGGACATTTTTTCCTTAGAAACTTTTCTGTTTTGCTTTGAACATGAAGTGGGGCAAATGGACATCTCCAGGAACTAAATCTGACTGTTGAAACGGTCAATGCCGTCTTTTAGTCGCTAGAGGGCAGTGTGTGTGTGTTTTCATTTACTCAATAACTGTAGTGCTCAAACGATTATTTTACTGCATGGGTTTCTTCAAAATCATCGTCGTTTTTCCCCTAGCACTATGAGATTCATGTGTGTGAGAGGATGTTGTCTTCTGAATTAAATTGGCTCCTTACCTGAGCTAGATAATTCAATAAATTATATTCAAACATTTAGCATGATGTTGTTTTTGCCTTTATTGTTTACACTTATACATTTTAGTGTCTGTACATCAAGTTTCCCACTTTTTTAGGTTTTGGGCTGGAGTGAAGGATGAGTGATCAGGGCTCAAGTATTGTTCTCCACTCTCCAGGGTTCAAGAGCTCTGCTTAAACAGCTGCCGGTGTGTGTGTGTGTGTGTGTGTGTGTGTGTGTTTATGTGTTGATGTAGAGCTGTGGTTGGGGAATGCTGTGTGTGTGCGTAAGACGGCAGCTGGTAGCCCTATTGTGTGATTTAGGGACCTCTGTTGAAAAGAAGTACTGTATTGTGTGTGTGTGTGTGTGTGTGTGTGTGTGTGTGTGTCTGTCTGTGAATATGTCTGTATATTGTATCAGTCATTTATCATAAAAGCCATCACTGACAGGACAACTCACCAGATGCACAATAATGGCTTTTTTATACTTTGGGTCAGGTTATACATGTTGGTTCTTTAAAAGCTGGTTTAGTTTTCGGTTATTTTAGACAATTAAATAACTAGTAGTAAAACGAGTGCATTTTAAAGAGATAGTTCCCTCAAAAATTAAACTTCACTGTTTACTCGGCATCAATTAATCAGATTTTTTTCCTGTTGAACTTGAAGATATTTTAGAGAAAATAGGAAACCTTTAGTCACCAATGTAAATAATAAGAAAACAAAAATTAGACAAGTCAATGGTTACAGGTTTTCAGCATTCTTCAAAATATCTTCTTTTGTGTTCAACAGTGTAAAGAAACTCAAACAGCTTTGTGACGAACCCGATGTGGATAAGTAAATCAATATTCAGTTTTGAGGGAACTCTTCTTTTAGGAATGAAAAAACCCGGTCAGTTGTTCTTTTGTTTATTTGTGTAGTTTTCTAAAACCAAACAAAAGTATTTTCCTTTTTGTAAAGTTCCAGAAGGACACACAGATTTGATATATTTATACAGCCTCAATAATAAAGGTTCCTTATTTATTAATATTTGTTTGATAAAAAAAAACCACACATAACATCCAAAGAATATTTTCATACCACAAAATAGTCTTTAAGGTGTCAAGGTGGCTCAGTGGTCAGCACTGTCGCCTCACAGCATGAAAGTTGCTGGTTCGAGTGCAGACTGGGTTAGTTGGCATTTCTGTGTGGAGTTTGCATGTTCTTCCTGAGTTGGTGTGGGTTTCCTCCAGGTGCTCGGGTTTCCCCCACAAATCCAAACATGTGCTGTGTGAATTGAGTAAACTGTATTCGCTGTAGTGTATCAGAGTGCATGTGAGAGTGTATGGGTGTTTCCCAGTAATGGGTTGCAGCTGGTATTCCACTGTGATGACCCCTGAAGAATAAAGCGACTAAGCTGAAGAAAATTAATATATGAATGAAATAGTCTTTATGGGGAAAAACAGACTATCCGCAGCGACCTAAAAAGTCTTAAAATGTCCTAAATGTCCAAAATGATATTTTAGGCCTTAAAAAGTTTTAAATCTACTGAGATATTGTGCTGTAGGTCTTAAATATTTTTTAACAGGTTTTAATTTTACTTTGTTGATAGCTATCCCATACAATCACCAACAATCCATCTCTTTAACACTTTTTGAAAAATAGCATTTAATTACTGTCCTTACATTAACATTTGCTTAAAAGTTCTCCATTTATTTACTGTTGAGGATACTGGCCAGACCTACATTTTTTATTATTAAATTATTATTTTTGTAGACTTAAATAATTGACCACTATGTTTTGTTTGAGAATGGATGTATTTGAAAATTATATATATATATAAATAGTGGTTTTGATAGGGCAAGTGAAAATCTTTTCTAACTGTGATATTCGAAAAAAATCCTTGGCATTTAGCCCTGTATAAGTCTGACGTTTCATTCATAATAGTCTGAAAAATTTATTTAAAACTTTTACATTTAACTTGGTTAAACTGGCAGAAAGTGAAAAAATTGTTTGTTTGTTTTTATAAATTTTTTAATTATTATTTTTTTTTATTAAACAAAATTGACTCACCCTCAAGAAACCATTAAGCTTTTTCATTCAGAAACCTCATGTGCATATTAAAGAAATAGTTCACCCAAAAATAAACTTTCTGTCATCATTTACTCATCCTTCACTTGTTCCAAACCTGACTTTCTGTCTTCTGTTGAACACGAAAGTAGATATTTTGAAGAAAGTTGAAAGCATGTAACCATTGACTTCCATATATTTGTTTTCCTTCAATGGAAGTCAATGGTTACAGGTTTCAGAGTTCTTTCAAATGTCTACTTTTGTGTTCAGCAGAAGAAAGAAAGTCATGCTTGGAACAAGTGAAGGATGAGTAAATGATGACAGAATGTTTATTTTGGGGTGAACTAGCCCTTTAATATGCACAAGAGGCTTGTGAAGAAAAAAGCTTAATGACTTCAAACCCTGATTTCTGTGTGTCTGAAGGTGATTTTTCGGTGATGCTGCCACACATTAGCTGCCATCTGGAACAAAAGAGGCGGAGCGTGAAGCAGCAGCGGCGGATAGATTTATCGATCCTTCTTTTTTTCAAGTACAACTCTATCTCTCCTCCCCTTCTTCTGTTGGTCCGCTGACCTCTTCACCTTTTCTTCTCTCTCTTTCACCCCTGCTGATTCTCCTGCCCTCTCTCTTTTATCCCGCATCTGTCACTCTGCGTTCACTAATAACCCAGCGGTGCCTCTGCTGTGAGGCCGTTTTCCTCCTCAGAGGTGCAGAGAGGGGCCCGCAGCCTTATTCAGGCCCATTCAACTGCATGAGCTGAGGGGCCGCGGTGTGTTCACTGCACCTGTTTCCACATCTAACCACATGTTTATATTTTTGCTGTTCACCTGTACTTCCTATATTGTAGTATTTTTGTTTTATTTTTGTTTTCTGGCTTCAACTTTTTATATTCACTTCCAGTTTTTGTCTTGTAGCAGTACTCATCAGCTTGTTATGATTCTTGCTGTCTTACCATATTATTTTACTGTGTTAATATTAAAAAAATAACACATTGGTTTGTAATTCAACAGTTTAGTGCGCTTACTGCTGATGAATCTTATAAATCCACCAAAAACTGCTGTTAACTTCCAACTGAAAACAAGGTGGATGTTAGATTTACGTGTATTATTGTGTTGAAATTATAATAAGATTAGCTATTTAATGTTTTAAATATAAAAAAACAATTATAATAATGTAACAAAACCCACATAGCAAATGGACTTGGCCCAAATGTGGCACTTCTGGCGTGTTGCCGGCACTGGCATGCATAATGTCAGCCGAATGTGGGCCATGCATGACAATGATGGCACTGCATGCATGACAGCAAACTACATTTGCGCCAGTTGTGGATGGGAAGTGTAGCGATTATTTACATTGTTTAGGTAACATTAGGCTAGGTTATGGCTCAGTTTTTGAGGTTTCTGGTTAAAGTATTGACTTATAGCTGAGAATCGGTACCCAATAATATACCAGTTGTTGCCTGGTTCAGGGTGATAAATTGGCTGAGATTCAGGCCGATTATGGCTCATGTGTGGCCCTTGTTTTTAATCCAGTTATGGGCCACTTCAGGACCGTCGTTCTTTGCGGTACTTGGGCTAAGGGAAAAGTTATTGTGTGGCCCGAGGCTGGGCCATAAAACATTTGCTATGTGGATGGTATATTTTTGTTTTACAAGTTATTTAATTCTCTATAGTCTTACATTTCTCATTTATTTCAGTCTGATCATTTGAATTCCTTTCTAATAAAATTCTGAACTTTATAAATCTCTCAGTAAAAACTCTCTCGACTATACTTGTTTATAAAAATATTTCTCAGTAGAAAATAAACATTCACAAGAAATATTATTGTAAGGTCCTTTACTTAATTCTGTGTTAGTTTCAAGTGTAATTCAGTGTGTTGCTTGTTTCTTTGTAATTAAATTCATTTGCCATTTTCAGTGTAAACTATTTTATTTTTTTGATGTTGTGATTGTGATAGTTGCATTAGTTCACAAGAAAATACAATTTCACTCTTTAAAAATGTCATATTTGATTAGATGTGTTGACATTTTTTTGTAATACATTTTGGAAATCACTAGTAGTTCCTATATAAGTTTGTTTTAAAGTGACTTTTCAGTTTTTGTACATCGGCATGCTTAATTTTATAGCTGTGTCTTTAAAGGGGTGGTCCACTACGATATCATATTTTAAACTTTAGTTGATTTGTAATGTAGCTGTGTGAACAGAATCAACATCTCTGAATGTAATGCGCTCAAAGTGTAATGCAAAGTGAGACACTGACTTTTACAGAGTAAGCTTAGTAAAGCCTACAGCGAACAAAGTTTGGAGACTAAAAAAAAATAAATCGGGGTTAGTGAGATCACACAGACTTCTGGTTACACGCTTTTACCAAGTGCACACCCTGCGCATTGAAGACGCATAGCCAGAGGCACTGTATTGTAGCAGAGAAGGCTAAAATGCAGTTCAAACGCTGCTATTTGCACAGAGCTTGTTCTGTTTCTGTATTTGGGCTTCCAAATGACACAACACAAAGAAAGAAGAGCTTACAATTTAATTTAATTATGTTCCAAAGAATTGTAAAATATATATAGCTAGCATTTGACAAAGGACAGCTTCCAGAATCTCTCCCAGTTCAGTGCTGGATTTTGGAGCAAAGAAGGAGCAGCTCCAACCATAATAGCAGAACCTCTGGATTGTGAGCCACAAACTGTAAGTATTTTTAATTGTTACAAATTGATCAACTACATGCACAGTTTCTAGCGTTAACGGTATGTTGTAATGAGGATGTAAACAAGGATGCAAACACTGGGAAATGCTGTTAGGCACTGCTAAAAATTTAGCTACAAATTCATATTTATCTGTCAAACCCATGTGAACAGCCACAATCTTCAGCAGCGCTGCAGTGTCTCTCTTTACGGACGCTTTCCCTGCATTCTACATCTCAAATAACAAATTCGCAAGAGATATGTGAACATTTTATATTACTTACACATGCTTGTTTAAAATATATGTGAAA